CTAAACAAGCCCAGCTCTCCGTGCTTCCTCTCCCACCACAGCCTCTCTGTTCCTCTCACCATCCCAGAGCCCTCTGCCCGCGTCCCCCTGTCCTGCACCAGGCTCAGTTCCCGCCTCTCCATCCCGCAGAGCTAATGAATAAGCTAACGGTGCTAATTGGAGCGGGTGGGTGGGCTGAACGGGAAACGCTCCCGTGATCGCAGCCACTCCCTCTGGCCTGCCTGCGCTTTGCTCTTTACCTGTATTCAAAGGGTATTAAAAAAAAATTAACAAGCCCTGACTACATAAAAGGAAGCTGCTGAATTTACAACCCAGCCTGCAGCTAGACCACCTTGCCTGCCGAGCAGGTTTAGACCAGGCCAAGTCTGCCATGGGAAACCCACTGACAGAGAGGCTGAGGGGTGTTGGGAGAGGGAGATCCAGCCCTGTTCGTGCTGGGCTGCGCTGCAGTAGCATCCCTGTAATGTGGGCACTGCCCTCCTGCAGCGGCACCCGGGGCTGGGGGCTCCCCTCCTGCGCTCTGCGGATCCCGGCAACCCGAAAATCCCGTGCCAGAGGCAGGATGGCACCCCTGGAGCCTGAGGCAAATGCAGCCGGGCTCCTTGTTAATCTCATCTGCTATTTTGTGGGAACTGCAGCACTTCAGCCCCCTGAGCTGTGGCTGGGAGACCGAGGCGGCTGCACGTCAGCAGCAAACGCGGCGGTCGCGGGTGCCTGAGCTCTCTCTCGGGGGAAGCTCCCGTCCAGCACCGGTCTGTGGTTCATCTTTGACAGTTACACACCAAATTCGTATAAGGGACATCGCAAGCGTAAATGAAAGGAGCAGAAAAGCAGTTTAAAGATAGACACAGAAGCCTGAAAGCAGGCAGGAAACCCATCTTGAGCATGTTCCTTCCTTTGAGGCTGAAGCTGAATCCCACAATATGTTTTCTTCCCACTAATGCTTGCCTAGCTTCCTTTGGAAACAATTTAGTCTCTGCCCATGGTAGAATGTTTTTATCCATTAAGAAACGGATATTTTAAAGAAACCATAAGTCAATCTGGACAGGGATTAGGAAGCAGCAATTCAGTGTATTTGCTGGGCCCATAATTCAGGACTTAACCTCAGAGCAGCCACGTTGCATTTCGGAAACAATAGGGCACTCGCTGCCTATGCCAAGAGGCTTCTTAAAAGTAATGTAATACTTTAAAACTGTATATTTAAAAAGCAAAAGAGAGAGAGATATTTTACTTTAAATGCTTATGGTGAAGCATTCTGCTGATGACTGGCCCTAAGTAATGGACTGGGAGTGAAGCTGGTTAAAGCTGAGGAGTTTCCAGATCAGGAGAGCTGAAGCTCTTCACCAGCAAACACAATGCCTCCCGAAAACCATTGAGCAGACACTAAAGCTGGGAGAGGCAGGACGGAGCTTGCAAAAGGATCCAGAGTTTGCCAGGGGAGTTTGGTTTCGCTGGAGCAAGGGGACGTTAAGTGCGTTAATCAAAACAGCTCTGGTACCGAGTAGATCAAATTTAAAATCACTTTGCAATTGTCCCCGTGTACGCAAGGCCCCTACATGTTGCTGGACAATGCACACAATTGCTTTTGAGTGATTGAAGATGTTTCCACCACAGAGCGAGAACACAGGCCCGGCTGCGTGGGCGGTCCTGCTCTGCTGCGGTGGGAAGAAAATGGTTCAGCACGAACCGCTGCCGAAACACGGGCAAGGGCGAAGCGCTGCGCGGAGAACTGGGGGCTTCTCCCCTGGAGGACGTGTGTCTGTCACCATCCTGCCTCCCCAGAGCAAGGGGAGAAGCAGCTGAAGGCAGGCAGAAGCAAGTTCCTGTAACATCTTGCTTCGCTTTTGGGAGCTACTTGATTTTTTTGAGCTAGAAGGTGAAACTCGGAATAAAGCAAGCACGCAAGGCTCTGGCTTCTCATGCCCTGTAATAAGGAACCATTTCCAGCCATCCTAATGACAGCTTGGTGTCTCGCCGAGGAGATGGCAGAGCTGGGATTTCAAAACCTCAGATTTTCCAGACCTCACTGGAGAAGCATTGGGCCAAATCCTCAGCAGAGGCAAACGGCTCTGCTCGGCTGAAGCCATGCTGGATGATGGTGAGGGCCAGGCTGTCATCACAGCCACACCGGTCTGAACCCAGAATTACCCTATTTACCCACCAAAGCAGGGCAAGTGGGAATGAAATCTGGTGCGTGGAGGGTTGCAAATGTCAATCCTGTTGGGGACAAGCATGGGAAGGGATGGATTCTCTGCTCATCTGAGCGGGACAAGGCAAGGCTGAAGCCACTGAGATACCCTGACGCTGGGCATGGGGAACCAGCACAAGAGCAGGATGTGACCTGCTTGGCCACGGAGCTGCGCACGCTCTCCTCCCATGTTTCCTGGCATGTCCTTCAGAAACAATCAGTTTTCTCTTACCAGGAGGTTTTTGGTTTTGAGACCATTTAACCTCAGGACGATCACTTTACATGGGGGCTATTTATAACCTCCAGGGGCTGCTTTACTGAAAGCCTCTGCGAATGGCTGAGGGCCAGACTCTTCTCCCACTTACACCAGCGTCCTTGCTGTGATCTCCACTGGCCACGGCCCTCACTCGTGAGGAGGAAAGATTGGAAAGATTGGAAAGATTGGACCAGGCCAGAGCAAACACACCTCCAAAGAACCCCGGTTCCTCCCAAAGATAAACACTGTCTCCTACGTGCCTTTCTGCCTCAAAACCCAAGCTCCACGTGCTGTATTTCAGGGATTTGAGGTGCCAGAATCCCCCCTCAGCGGCCAAGGCTGTTTCTGAGCATCTCAGCTCCCAGCCTGGTTTCGCCAGAAGCGGATTAGGAAGCATTTGTGCAAACTGCTTGGTCAGCAGAACCGGGAGGCCAACCACCTCCAGCACATGAGCAGAGGGCTGCTGGGCACCGGTGGAGGGAAAACCTGCTCCTCTGGCCCCCTTTCAGTCCCTGCACAGGGATGCTAAAAACATTATGGTTGGGAAGCACCCACAAAGAGGATAGTGGGGGGCCGGATGAACTCCAGCCTGCCCCTCCTAACCGGTATCTCGTTATGCTTTTCACTAATCGGCTTCTCATGTGTGTTACCCAAGAACGTGCCAAGTCGTGAGAATTACAGGCCTGTTAACTCCTGTGTTATTCTTGGCACGGGCCGGGCTCCACTTGCTCGGGTAAAAATTATGATCTCTGTGAATAAGCCGTGTGTGTGTGCGAGAGAAAGAGGGTTGTTTTTTGTTGTTTTTTTTTTTTTAAATTATGATTATGATTGGTTATAGCCAGCGTTGTGTCAAAAGGACAGGGCTGAGGTTAAAAATACTGAGCTGATCCTGCTCCCAGCTACGCTGGTAAGAACCCACAGTCATTTTAAGACAGTTCCTCAACTTGGGAACGAGGGAGCCAAGAGCAGAGCGTGCACGAACCGCCTTTTGCAGCATTCCTGGTAGTTTGGATTCACTCCGCAGGAATGGTTTTAGATGGCTAATTTTGTGTGTCTCCACTCCTGCTGTCACTTGACATTTGGGAATTTGGCACGGACGGCAGCTTGTGGCCAATTTCATTTTTTTTCTCATTGGATTTGTGTCATCACCTGATCCCTTGCTCCAAACGACGCTCTTTGGGTTTCTGGCACTGCATGGGGTTGTGCTAATTTAAAATACAAATCTTTTTTTCTTCCCCAAGAATCTCTTTCTTTATGACGCAGCCAATGGGATGAGCCTAGAAAACTCTTTCTCTCTCTCTCTCTCTCTCTCTCTTTTTTTAAACAAAAATCAAATTATAATCCTACACAAAATGCCCGCGTTCTTCTCATAAATCATGCTAATATCAATGAAAATTCCAAGCATGGAGATTTGCATTTCAATGAGAAATAAATTAAATTTTCACTGCAATTTTGGGCTGGGAGGAGCGGGGCAGCTTTTACAGTTCAGGTAACGTTTTCAAACATGTTTTTGCACCCGAGACACCCTCTTTGCCAATGACACTGAGGTTTTCAAACATCTACGTCACTTCTGAAAATGCAACACAAAGGCTTCTGGAACTTTTTAGAGGAAACCTTCCAAGAAGGGCCACTTCTCATCAAAACTCAATACGCAGACAGCTTAAATACTATTCCTGAAATCCCTGTTAGTATCTCTGCTGCTTTCCAAAGGAAAACACCACCGAGACTAAAACTGCACGGAAAAGGAGCACGTCTCACATGCAGACAGGAGAATGGCCTCTCTTAATTCATTCTGGTGGCATCTGACTGTGCTGAGACCTGCACAAAGGCGGGAGCAGCAAGGCAGCTGGATAATTCCAACGGCAGCGCTTAACTGGGGGCTGAAATTCGGGTGTATGGGGATTAACAGACTGACCTCTCTTGGGTAACTCCAGTGGCAGTTCCCACTGCTGTCCTGGCAGCAGTGTGGATTCCTGGGGAGCGCCCAAGGACTCGGGGTGCTCCTTGCTGATGGCAAATACGGGAAGAGCAAAGCCTCTGTGTGTGTGTGTGCACGCGTGCGCCCATGCAGGTGTGCATACGTGTGGGGAATTATGCTGCAGTTGGGTGATCACCAGGCTTGGCATAAACACAATGCAACAAGATAAGAAACCATTTGGATTAGCATGTAAAGTACAAAACACCCTTTCTAGTTGATGCATAACCATAACGTGGGTGCCTTCATGTCAAAGAAGCTGCTGGGTTCAAAGTGTGTTGCTCTGATCTCCCTCGCATTCCTGCTGAAGCTCCTCAGTTTTTCCTAAGAGCCCTGATCTGATGGTGCAAAGAGCGATTTCATGGGTGCAAAAAGGCTTCCAAGGCCAAGAAATCCAAGCAAACCTCCCCCTGGCATGTCCCCCCCCACGGCTCCTTACCCAGGGGAGAGCTGCACTCCAGCCCTACAAGGCCATCCAAAGGGAATCTCGTTCGGCCAGGGAGGCTCCGCTCCCTGCCCAGCTGTGTTGGGAGTGTGAGGCTTTGGGGTGTAACGCCGGGCTGGGGCACCCAGCCACTTACCTTGTATTGGAGTCTGAGCCTGGGACCCGAAGTGGCTCGGGGTGCTGAGGGATCCACGAGGGTTGGGGGTTGTCGGGGTGACTCTCATGGACTGGCGCAGCCGTTCCAGCTCCCCGTAGCGGTCGGTGAAGGGTTTGGCTTGGTCTTCTAGCTTTTGTCTGTGCCCTGGAACATGATAAAAGAGTCTGATATCTGATCAGTTCCCCTTTGGCTGCAGCACCTTGGTTACACACGGAGTCAGCGCAGCCTCTGTCTCTGTGGTTTGCTGATGTTCACATGGGGGTAACGGGGGGCAGCCCCGGCAGAAATCAGCTACCGGGGGGCTGCACAGCACACACAGAGGGGAAGACCTCTTGGTTCAGGAAAATGAAGCCCACCAAAGATGGGACATGGACTGACCTCTGGATCATCCCGCAAATCATCCAGCAAGTCATCCTTTGATCAAGGAGCCTGGATCAGGATGCCCTGTGCCTGAGTGACCAGCCTCCACCAGCCCTCATTCTCTCTGAACACAGAGGGGAGACACGTGCAAGGCAGGAAAAACCCCATCTCCTGGCAAAGGGGTGAATGGGGAACCAGCAAAGGGAACATTGAATTTTAAGTATTTTCTGCAGCATTTGCTCAGCGCACAAAGAATAAACTCTCGTCTACTCCCCCTCCCAGCTCTGCTCACCCATTGGGGTCAGAGCCAAGGGGAGCTGGAGAAGGCACAGGAGGAGGGATGGGAGCAGCCGTGGCACCACACCTTGGCCACCTCACTTTGCTTCTTTCTGTTCCTCTTTTCCTACCCATAAAACGGGGAGACTAATCACCCACCTCCCCCAGGCAGGGCAGCAGCTAATGAGCGTTTGTAAAGCACTCCCAGCTCCTTAGGTAGCAGCTGCTGGCACAGGGCAATAATTATTAAATTTATGCTAATTGTCCCGAGGCAAGAGGCGCATGAAATACACTTGATACATAACTTTCGCATTTTACTATATTAATCATCACCAAATGGCTTCACTCTCTCTGGGCCCGACTCCAGTCTCAGTTACACCCGCACAAAGCTGGAGGGGCTCCAGGGAAGCCGGAGCTGCCTCGGTTTTACATCAGTGCCGGGGTTCAGACCTTGGATTCTCCTTGCTCTCTCCCTGCCGCAGCCAGACAGCCCTGCAACACCCCCAGCTCTTTGCACCTGCCAGGAAAGGACCTTCCCAAGGTGGCAGCCGCCTCATCCCGGCGTAATCCGAGCGCAGGGCTCGGGGGCACTGGAGGTGTGCGGGCACGCCGGGGAGATGGGAGAGGAGCTGGGAAGAAACCTTCTGCAGGGCTTCAGAGAGCTGGGCCTTATCAGATCCTACGGACCAACATCCACTGAGTCAGTGGCTCAGCTCTTGGTGGCTTTTAAGAAGTGACGGGTTTCAGAGGTGATAAACGCAGCCACCTCTTGCTCACACCCTCCTTCCCTCCCCCCTCACATCTGCGTGGCCTGAGCCCCACTGTCAGTTTGTAGCAAAGTCACAGAAAGTCCCCGGACTTCCCCCTCTTTAATAATGTCTTGCATCTCCTGATCTCCAGAGGGGTTCTCACACTCCCAGCTGAGCTGCCTGCCATGGCATTGCTCCATGGATGTCCCAACAGCAAACCACCCCTTGCCACAGTTTCTGAAGGCCTTTGACCCTCCTCTGTGAGCTCCACATCCAGGTAAGCCCCACCATCCCCCCCAAACTCCATGATCCCCAGGTTTCTGGGTGTGTAAAAGTCCAAACTGATGGAAAACAGGCTGACAACAGAGAGCAAAACTTGTTGAGGACAAACCCCAGCAGAAAGCAAAACCCAGCAGTGTTTTGAAAATATCTTTTCCCTGCTATGTGAAATAAACCAAGGAAACCTCACAGCAACACTGTAAATGATCTCTTCTAATCTCTGTGTGTCCCCAGACCTCAGGCACCTCTGCATTATCCGAGGCCTTTGGAGCCATGAGCAGCATCTGTCACGTGGCATTTGTGCTTTCCCCAGGGGAAAAGTGTGTGCAGTGAGGTGTCCTGTTTTGGTCCACACTGTATTACTTCAGTATACATTTAAGCACAGAAAAAGAAAAGTAGGGTTATGTTTCACCTTTAACTGCTTTCCTTGGGCAGAGCGTGGCAGAGGAGCCAAAAGGACTTCAAGTTCCCCAGAAATCTAATGGAAATCAAATTCCCTGCCTCTGTCTCAGCACAAACCCTATCCTGCCGTGGTATCTGGCATGTGACGGAGAAAATCCTGAAAAATATATCAAGTGATCTCCGTGCTGATAAATGTTTTTAAAGATTATTCAGCCGTACAGCTTGACTGAGGGCTTCATGTGGCTGTGTCATGCTGCACTGGGGTTTCTCTGGTCCCCACATGGTCTGAACGTGGACACAGCCCCGTGGGGGTTTTAAGCCTCAAGTAAACAGCAGCACTGTACTTACACCCTCGAGGAGGGGCTGGTTTGTGGGGAGACCCAGCAATTACCAGCGAAACCCCCAAAACCTTAAACCTATCCTAAAAAAAGAAAGTGGAAAACTTGATGCCAGTGTAAGTCGAGGCAAACACAGGGGCTCCCTTAGGATGAGCCCTCACCAGAGGATGCTGTGGTGGGATCAGGGCCATTCCCAGCTCTCCTAGGCCCTCTCTGGTCTGTATCCTGCCCTGTCTCCACGTGTGGCAGCACCAAACCATATGAAACAAGGCATTGAACGAGTTAAAAACCACCAGCTTGGGCTGCCAACCCTCTTTAGCTCAGGCTTTCTCCCCAGGACTTCCTGCCGCTTGTCACTTTAGAGCTGGGGACGTCAGACTTTGTCACGCAAGAGAGAATCGCTATTAATGGGTTTCTTTCATCAGAACAACCTGAGCTTTTTAATTTCTGCAGCGGTTGGCTCCATTAAAAGCCCTTCCCCATCTGCCCACAGCTGTCACGGAGAGGAAACCAGTGCCGTCAAGTGAACAATAGCTCATACCTTAGAGAAGGGGAAGGTGGTTTCTAGCTTAACCCAAGGACTGACTCAAAGCCTCCTGAAGCCAGTGGGCGGGTTTTCACTCAACTTCAAACAGCTCCAGACCTCATCCCAAGAAATCTGCCTGAGAAGTCTCCATCGCCCCGACCCGTGAGTTTTGGGGCACGAAACCTGCCGTTTGGGGTTGGAGACTTAGCCCTGCACTTCCAGCTGGGCTAGCACTGGCTTGCAGGTCAATATTTATGGAAACAACAGAGCTTAGAACGATCAAATGATGGCAGCTACTGACCTCGGGCACTTCTTGTCAACAGCACAAGGGTTTTAACGCTGGATCGGGTTTCTGAGTCAGTTAACTCCGATATTGAACATGACATGATGTAAACATTGACAGATCACCTATGATCCTGATGTAATAACAAGATCTGTATCAGCATATCAAACAAACGATCCCATTGAACACTTCCCAGCTGGAAGAGCCGATGTGAATTTGACACTTTGGGCCAGTAATAAGAAGCACACTGGAAGTTTTGGGTGTTTCCTTGGAATGCAGACAGCGAAACAGTGTGTGCCACACTGCAACCCAGGCACTCAAAGCTATGATTTAAAGGCATGCCCTCTGCATTAAAACATTACAAAGACCAAACAGACCCTGTTCTTCCTTCTAGGAGTGTGCAACCTGATGTGGCTTCCCAAGCTGGGACCTGGATGGGGTTTCCAGGCAGTGCAGGAGGGAGTTCCACAGTTCACCAAAAGCAGTTTATATCCCCAGATTACTGAGATGCAGAATATAAAGTTGATCAAAGGTAGAAAGGGGCTTCAGGAACCTGAGTGGTGCCAAAATCTTAGAGAGAAATTTGATTTGAAAAAACACTCTCCAGGGTGCCTGAAGGTCATGGTACCCTGATTTATCTGTGGTTAGTTGTTCAGTCATGAGACACAAGGAGCTGCACATCCTCCTCTCCACCCCTGGTGGGTTCAGATTTGGGTGTCACATTTGTCCCCATCCCCTGGCACAGCCCTTTGCTACCAAAGGATGGGAGAGCAGATGGTGGGAAGTGGCTTGGCCCTCCCCAGGAGTCTTGCTGCGAAATGCTGGCGGCAAGATGGAGAGAAGGAAACACAGAGCTTTTCAGCTCTGGGGGATGTTCATTAACACACACATTTGCAGATAATTTCCTTAGCTCCAGTGAGGAAGAGACAAGAACCAGGAGATGGCAACGTGGGCTGGGACATCAGCTCGAGCCATCAGCAGCCACAGAAGCCCCCACTCATCCACCTCCAAAGCAAGGCTCCAGACATCCCACCAGCATGATCCCACCATCCTCCACCCAAGGCTCTGCTCAAATATTCACAGTCAAACTCCAGGGCTCAGCCAAGCAGGAGCTCACCAGGAGCAGTCCCTGCACACAACCCCGTGGCTTAGTCTCTACATGTCCGTGAGAATGGACCACAAGAAAGCAATCAGCAGTGGATAAAACTCCGTCTCAATGTGCAAAACACCTTTCAAATCCCTCTTATAGCCCTCAAAATAGGTACTTCAGAGAGACACGCCAATCCTCTACAGAGGGTTGAATTTTTTCCCAGTCTGAGTCTCGACTAGACTATCAAGTCCCAGCATGTGCTCCAGAAAGAAGCCACATGTGAAACGCCTGTGTTATGGGAACAGCAGGCCTGTCCCTTACTGCACATGTTGGGGTGGTTTCATCTTCGCACACCTATAACACAAGGCACGAACACCCCTCAGGTTTTCCCTGGAATCCCACCTCCTGCTCCAGACTCACCACGGGAAGTTCCCGGCCAAGAAGAATTTGGTGGAGCCCCACGGCCAGCGAAGGAGGGAGGGGAGGACGGTGTGGAGGTGGGAACCAGGCTGCCCGCAGTGCCAGGAGCTGGGAGGGACTCACACATGACGTCTCCACGGAGGATGACGGAGATGCCCTCCGAGCCCCGGCGAGCGGCAGCAGCCTGGGGAGTGCCAACCCTGCTTCAGCCCGCTTCTAGAAGCCGAAGCCCTGGAGTTCACAGGAGGGAGCAGGGGGGAAATGTTAGAAGGAACCGTCTCTTCTGGTGCCGAACAAAGTCAGGCACAGATAACTCATTATTCACATGTTTGAAGTTGGCCTGCTTACGCCATTTGGAAAGAGAATCAGTCACGGCCGGGCTTTGCTTTGGTTTCCTCTGGCTTTCGTGAGACACTGCAGC